GCCATCCCTGGTCTCAAGTCGCCCTCTGACGCAGCTGCACTTTTTCCTCCAGCTGTTTCTCGAGTACTCAGCAGAGACCTACCACTATTTCATGCATGGAGCAGACACATTTGAGGAAGCCGACCAGGCATACATCGCCAAGCTGAGTGAGTGACTCTGCATGACGCTAGTGAATGGTAGCATTTTTTTTTATGTGAGCTAATTGTCTCATCTATTACTTGAAATGTGTGCAACAAGGATAAGCATTGAACAAATTAATTCTAACCTGGGCTGCCTGTCTTGTATGCTGATTTATATGGCCTTAGCTTAATGGTACAGCTGAACCTGATGAATGTTTTCAAGCAGAATATGCATCATGGTATTACGATTTCAATTCACTGGTTTTATTTTTTAAGAGAAACTTTACAAAGTTGACGAGGCCCAACTGGAGACATTGGCTGAAAAGTACAGAATCATTAGTGAAGAGGTAGAGAGACTGGAGAAAGAAAGTCAGACGGTTCGTATGCTTGCACGTGTGGATCGTGGTTCGACCCCATGCATGGACCTGTGACACACCTTTTCTCCTCCATTATTCCATATGACATCAGTGAGGTGCTAATGTGCATTAAACGCCTGTAACAGGACCGACTGATGGTTAAGCGAACGGAGAAACTGAGACTGCAGACGGACCTGCAGAAGCTTCAAAACTATAACAGCGAGATGGAGTCCTTCAAAGTGGCCCTCGGGAACAAGGCGGCTGGGATATCTGAGGAGCTAGAAGCTACAGGTTAGCGGGTCTCGTCCTACCCTTCTCATCTGAGCTCCTCACTTGGACATCCTGGGAATGCTGATGACCTCTCGCTCTCCAGAGCTGCAGGTGGAAAGCTTGAAACAGGAGCAGGCCAGGCTGCAGCACATATTGGTGAACCAGAAGTTTTCCCCGGCTGACGTCGAAAGGATCAACAGAGAGAGAAACGAGCTCCAGCAGACCATTACCAGCCTGAGCGCAAACTTGGAGGAGGCTGAGCAGCACATGTGGAATGAGGAGATCGCCTTCGCAAAGGTCAAGGAAGAGGTAGGGCCTGCAACTGGACGATCCCTCTCTGCGTTAGATTGTACTGGCATTACAGGACTAATCCATTTACACACACTGCCCTCTGCTTTATTAGTTTGAGGTTTAGGCAGTTTGAATCGCTGCCCTTTTGTGTATGTCTGTGTGGAGTTTGCATGTTCTGAGTGGGTCTCCTTTGCTTGTTTTGGTTTCATGTACCTCACAATGGGCTGTTATTCCATGTAGAGTGTTCTATCTTGCATTCTATGGTGTCTGGAATAGACTCTAGACCGCTATTATTCAAATCACCGTCCTCAAGGTCCGAGCACTGCTGGTTTTCCAGCCTTCCTTTACCTGTGAGCCAGGTGTGAAGCCTCTGACCAATCAGAATCAGTAATTATTAAACTAACTACCTGGGAGAAATGAAAACAAGGCCTGGATCTGGAATCGAGGTTCAAATTTGAAGAACCCTGCTCTAGACCCTCCCCAACCCCCCGTGATCCTTGACTGAACAAAAGGATTCGAGGATGCATGGGCAATGCTAAATTTTAATGATAATTGGCTGTGTATGTATTGCCACATGGAATTTATGCAAGTATTCAACCAGGTTTGTTTGGGAAGAGCATGTACTGGATAAATGTGTGTGTTCTTTCTTCTTTGCCCTCCTGTAGGCTGAAGCTGAACTGGTAGAGTACCACAGCTTCGCTCGCAAGCTGAAGCTGATTCCTGCATCTGCAGAGAATGCCTGCGGGAGAGATTTTGAGATCAAAGTCACTGCAGCTGACTGCGGCCTTTCAGCTGTGGCCCAATACAAAGTGCAAATTCAAGTACGGCAGCAAACTGTAACATTGCCTTTTTGTGTGGATATTAAATCAATATTGAGATCTACTAGGCATTGTTTTAATGTTTTTTTTTCCCTCCCACTTATGCAGAATCCTCTTAAGAAAATGATTTCTGAGGTTGAGGAGGAGACTGGATTGCTCAAAAATAAAAAATTAAGCCTCCAGGAAGCAGTGGAACAGGTATGAAGATATTTGTGTTTCATTACAGTTGGACGTTAAAGCAGATCTTAAATAAAAGTTCATCCTCTTTTTCTTGAAGATTAGGTCCAATGTGGAAGACAAAACCAATGAAATTAAAGACCTGAAGGAACAAATTCGCAAACTGGATGAGCAGCTCGAGCTGGAAATGCAGGCAAGTCCCCAGTATGTCTGTAGTGCAAGACTTCAGACTCTCGCAGGTCACCTCTGCCTGGAGGTGTGTTTGTGCTCAGGGGTCCTACACAGTATGGAAAGTTTTGGAGAAGTATGGAATTTCATGTTGGTATTACTCAAGTCAGGATAAGTATGGAAGAGTATGGAGATGGTGGTTTTTCCAGACCACTGGATCAATTTGCAGTATGTTTTCTACTAAAACTGTCTGGATGTTCTTATTGCTGTTTCTGATGAAATTGGCCATGTGTGCTAATTGTCAACGCCAGAATGTGCATAAATCGTACATTGAAGAGCAGCATCCCAAATGACGCAGTGGGGGTGTGTCTGTGGGCCAGTAAGAAATACTGACATAGGCTACCTTGCGATTTACAATGCTCACAATGTGGAAATGCAAGTTTTTCACCTGCTTGGTTAAGAGTGCTACAGTGCCATCTAGTTGCAGCCAGGGGCAGATCCTGGCAAGGGCAAGGTGGGCAATTGCCCAGGGCAGCATCCTGTGGGAGGGCACTGACTTGTCAAACTGCTAGTACCGACCCCATATGGCCTGGAAAAGTAAGGAATTTTAAAGTTGCCCACCTTGCCCTTGCTATTTCGAGCTCCTCCTTTTATTCTTTATAGGAAACGGCCCGTGAGGAGGAGAAATGGGCCTCGGAGGTGGAATCAATGGACAACCACAAGAAGGTGCTGGAGAGAAAGCTGAACGATGGCTATGACCAGGCTCTGGAGCAGCTTAAAGCAGCCCAGCAACAGTGAGTCTAACCCATTCCCCAGTGGTGCACATAATCATAGCACATCAGAGATGTCAGGCAGCTGGCCTTTAAGTGATTACTTGTGAATGAGTGGTGATGCCATACGGGTTTAAGCTCGTTATTTGTGATTAGTGATTCGTGCTCCCTCCTCTTCCCAGGTATCACCTGGTGGTGCAAGAAACCAATGAGCAGCGCCGTACTGTGGTGAACAATCTCTACAGCATGTTCACCATGGCCGCAGACCACCTGTCACGTGTGGAGGTAAGTCACTAAATCCAGCGTTGTGCTGAAACCGCATGGATCTATTG